CGAAGCCAGTGATGATGGCACAGAGTCACCACGGCCACTATGTCTGGCTCCAGAGGGCCCCCCAAAGCACAGGACCTGCGGCAGTCACCCCAATTCGCTCCCCCACCAGGGACGGCCCTGTTTACATGTATATCAAAAAATATCTTGAAGTGTAGCCGTTACTAACAATGGTATTTAGTTCTAAAATTTTTCATTTCATAATTTAAAAAATTACAATTATATTTAATTACTTGCTACAAATTTCTAACTTCTAATGTTTCCTTTGTTATAGTTTTACATTCTTAACAGTAATTGTAAATACTTCTGTATTGCTATATTCTTTGTTTGCTAGTATTGTGGTAAAAAAGAACAATTTAGTGTTTGAATATCTGATATGGCATTACAGGCAGTCTTGCTGGAGCTAAACAGTCAATATAGGAGAATTATTAGGCAAAAATATTCTGAGTTTCTTACAAACCTGAGGACATACTGAATGCACTAGGAACTGCATTTCTTATGATAGTTGTTATTCAGTATATACTTATATACATATACAACCTAGGAAAACTGATTTGCAGTAAATCATTAACTTAGTAACACTAATTAACTCATTAATAGGTGGCATTTAGATGGACCTGCTCACCTGAAGAAGTTATGAAATCACACGTTGATATGGGTAGCTTCAAGGAAAGGGGCTTTCAAAGTATTGAAGTATTGAAGAAAAAATAACAGAATATCTCCTTCTCACTCCTAGATTACTCACCAAAGGACCAAGTTTTCCTTCAGGACCCTGAACACCTGGATTTCCTGTGAGACCCTAAAAGATTAGTATAAAGTTGATATAAATCTATGCATATGTTTCTAATTCACACCAGAAAATTGTAAATGAATTCAAAAGCATCACTCAATATCTGATTATCACACTAATACCAAGATATTTTTCACTTGGGTGGCAATACAAATGAGAAATCATTTCATACTACCCTTCCATAAAGGCTTCTCCTCACCAGCTGCATCACCAAACTCCTTATCCTTATCTTAAAAGTCATGTACATTTTCTGCTCTGTGTCTTTCTGTTTCCCCTACTGCTGCTTACACTCCTCTCAAGCCTCCAACTGTGATGGCTAGAAAATTATATTTATTGATTTGCTTTTGGGAATTGGATTGAAGATAAAGTAGATATGTATTAGAATAATGGTCCAGGGGAATGGCAAGGGTTAATTGGTCTCTAAAAGCCTGTTTGTGGCAAAGTTTCCTTCAAGGGCCACTGTGTCTGGAACAGGTGTAAACAGGCTGGGAAACATGAACAGCGTACCATAACAGGGGATAGGCTTGCTGCATTCATGCCAGGTCACATTGACTAGTTGCCCTTGGGATTTCCAGTTTTGGGGATGAACTAAATTAGGAGGCTAGAGCATGTTCAAATTAAGATGCATGCATGTGATAGGCTTGGGAAACAAAGGAGTATGCTGACAGAACAGAACATGTGTACCATACAGCCACTAGTGGTGGCTGTATGGTAGCATTCCTGCCTACCAGGTGGGAGATCTAGGTTCAAGTCCCAGCTTGGGTGAGTGTGATAGCAGAAAGCAAATCTTCTTTCACAGTTAGGGTGGCTAGGAGCTGGAACCAACTTCCAAGGGAAGTGGTGCTGGCCCCTACCCTGGGGGTCTTTAAGAAGAGGCTGGATGCCTACCTGGCTAGACTCATTTGAGTCCTTTTTTTGTTTTTTTTTTTTGTTCTCCCGCCCTGGCGGGGGGTCGGGCTAGAAGATCTACTAGGTCCCTTCCGACCCTAAATCTATGAAACTATGAAACTCTGTACTGTATGAAGGCCACAGAAAAAAATGATACCCAGGAATAAAGACTCATCAGAGGAGAAAAAGAATACAGAAGGAGGGATTTCAGAGGAGCAAAGGGTCCCTGAGTGGGAAACCATAGGCCACCATGGACAGAGGGCACACCACCAGCCCGTTTCACCCATCCCACTGGGGGAGGAGGGGAGGGTGGGGCTTGGCCCTTGACTTCCAGACTACTGACATCTGACATTCAAGAAAGAACCACAGGGTGAAGCTCACATACTGGCCAGATGTACCTTCCCTCTGTGAACCCTAGGACTGATAAATATAGAATCATAGAGGTTATTTTGTTTGCCTTGCCTGTATTATTCTTGTCTGCTATCACTGTGTATCAATAAAATTTGCCTATTATTGAATGGAGAAGTCATGGTCGGTCTGAGGGTTTGGGTCCACTGGGTCATAAATCCAGTGCCAACACACTGGTCCATCCACTTTATCTGTCCCACTCTCCCTTAGTGTTCTGTGTCACTCCTTATTCTTGGAACTGATTTTCTCTCCTTGTCTGAAGCATTCAAAATCCTCCTCAAACATTTCTTCTGTAAAACCTTACAACAGTATGTGCTGCACTATTAAAAAACAATATACCAATTTAGTGAGGCTTTGAAATAGAGCAGGGTGCAGGGCCCAGGGCAAATCAGCTCATGTGTGGCCCTGCCCCTACCCCAATCCCACATGCCCTAGATATGAAGAAGGATGGCGGTGGCTGGGGGTGGTGGTAGTGAGTGGCCGGACGTGAAGCTAGTGATGATGGCACAGAGTCACCACGGCCACTCTGTCTGGTCCAGAGGGCCCCCCAAAGCACGGGACCCGGGGCAGTCACCCCAATTCCACCTTGTATTTGTTACATGCTCACATTTCTCTGGACTGAACTGTCTGATTTAGATATAGACCATGACCTTTTTGAAGTTAATTGGAATCTTCCCTTGACTTCAATGGGAAGAGAATCAAATTCTTTCCACTGAACTCAAGGCCAGGTCTTTGATGAAGGCGTTAAAGCTACAAAAGAAGTGATTCCTATATGTAACTTACATAACAATTTTTTAATCCTGGAATGTTTGTCACCCTCCATCAAATGAAAGGTGTCAGGACATCATAATATGTTATTTCCTTACCCTAGCACCTGGGAGGCCAGGTTCACCTGGACGCCCAGGATCTCCCTGGCCTCCTTTAGGACCAGAAGAACCTGCTGGACCACGCTCCCCCTGAGCTCCCTGCAATAATATCAAAGCACCACACGTCAGACAATAGGTATAACAACAGTAGTAACATAAAGCAAAAGAAAAAAGAATATATATATATGTGTGTGTGTATATATATATTCTATTAGCATCATTTATCAACATTTTTCCAAAGTACTCTGAACCAAACCTTTAAAATGTAGATGTGGTGTCTTGTATAAAATTAACTAACATAGTTCATTTAGAATTCTTAGAATCCTATAAAGAAGGTAATAATCTATGGACCTGCTTGACAAAAATGTGTCTACATCAGGGATGCTAAACCCCCAGCCTACATTCCAAATCTAGCCCACAAAGTCATGGCATCAAGCTCGCAGGGCTTTCCACCTTTCCTCCACTGCCAAATGTCCAAGCCCCACATGGGCAAATTGGGGCTAGACCACATCCTCTCCCTTGGCATAGCTGGACTACCCCCTACCCCCTACAGAGTCAGATCCAGGCTGGGCCATGTCCCTCTCCCCCTCCCCCCTGCACAGCTGGAATGGGCCCACTGTACCCACTCCACATTCTGGATCAGGTCCACTAGCTAGATCTGGCCTGCAGTCAGACCAGGCTATGTCTACCTGGCCCATAGGGCAAAAAGTTTGAGAACCAGTGATATAGATACATTTACCAGTATGTAACTTATCTATTAGGCAACACAAAGAAGAATGGACTTTTCTGGTCAGAAGAATTGTCAAGGAAGAGATATTCTACATCTAGGAAATATTCGGTTTTCAAATGATCTCTCCTAACTATACAATTAATCCAACAAAAGATACCATCACAAACAAACCTTGTCTCCAAAGGCAGTAGCTTAAAATACAATGCAAAATACACCATAGGTTTGCTGGTGCTCAATGATTCAAGATAAGCCCTGAGATTCAAAGGCAGAAGCAGAGTATCTGCAGTGTGTCCTTCTCCTCTGCTCTTACCTATACCATGTTACAGGGCCATTTTGGTGTTTAAAGATTTGTTGGCCCAAGAGGACCTTCCAGGCCTATGTTCCTGTATTTCTTCCCCTGGTCTCAATGTATTTAACAGCCTACTGCCATATGGTATTTCCTTTGGTGCTGCTTCCAGAAATTTAACAGCTTTGCCCAATTTCCACAGCAATCTTCTCACTTAAATGTTCTTTTGTCATATACATCTCTGCATAATCAATGTCTAGATGCTTTATATCATCATACCTTTGGTCCAGGCAAGCCATCAGAACCTGGAAAACCACGGTTACCAGGAGCACCCTGTGAAAAAAATATCAGATAACTCTCATTATCAGCTTGGTTTTTAAAGGATTTATAATGAAAAGTCTGATTTTATAGGGTTTTGGAACTCGGTTTATTTTCTTACAAAAGCATTTTCCTCAAATCTGTGCCTCAAATCTGTGCTGTTGCTTTATATTAGTGACAAAATATTTAAGTATGTATCTTGCACATTTAAAACCTTTGTGCATCTTGAAAAGCATGTTAGTCTGTGAATAACTCCAAGGTTATTTGCATAAAAATACCACCCAATCAAGAATGTCCTGTTTTATCTGTTCTACTTCTATCTTTATCTCTATATGTGTGGAGTGCCATTCTGCTATCAAAAGACTTGATGCAGAAATTAACATACTGAGTTATAAAGTACTGTATAAAAAGCCAGACTTTAATCTCCCTCCCAAGATAAACACAAAAAAAGGAAGTAGGTGGCATTCAATGTGGGTGGATGCATCTTTCCAGGTCTAGTTCTGCATCAGTATTAAAAGTTTGGCTTCACCCACCCCTCACTTTAAGGAAACTCTCATTCAGGTCCATATATGTTTTGCACTATGGAGGCTCATCATTAGAAAAATGTACATTTGCTTTTCTTACCCTTTCTCCAACAGGACCTGGTGGACCTACTGACCCTGGATCACCACGAGGGCCTCTTTTCCCTTCTTCACCTAATGGTCCAATAGGACCCTGAGAACCTTGTGGACCCTACAGAAAATATTTGTACATTTAAAATAAACAAAATAAACCATTTATGAAGGCCATATCAAACCTTGTTTCTTCCAGCATAACCATAAACATTTACCCAAGCAGCAAAGACCAAAACTAAGTAGCTAGATTTTGAAATTTTTGAATTAGTTACAAAATGGAATTATTCACACCCATATTTTTCTTTCTGAAGTGTTTAGAAACTAACATTTGAGTAGGAGATGATGTGTGAATGGATTGTATTTCTGAAATTTGGTTCCAAGTTGTTTCTTGTAATTATATTTTTGCTTGTGTTTGATGCAACAATATATAATTGTGAAAAGTATGAACCACCAAGCAGGCAACTTTAAGGAAAACAAACGTAAAGGTTCAAATAGCTTATGGATTTCACCAGTACATATAGGACATGATACTTGACTAATGTATAACAAGCCAGACTTTAATGGCCATTCTTTTAAATGGCCTCAAGCAACTGATAGTACAGTCAAGTCAGTACTCAAGGAACCATTATGAAGGAATTGGCAAGTCATTACTGACCTCAAATGAACACAAACTTACATCTCATGTGACTATACTTTGGATAGTCTTCTCACAACGCTAAGGCCAAGCATGCATTGTTACATTATCAGATCTACCAGTATTCTTTGATACTGTTGATCAGAAGGTGATGCTCAGTCCTCTGTGAGCCCATCCTGGATGGACTAAGTTGCATTTGAGTAGTTTTGTTTATGCAGAAGGTTCTTATGGGCAAGCTGCTGGTGGTGCTCTAGGGCTCTCATTCAATTAAACAGAGTTTAATTACATTACCTCTAAAATTCAGCATTTATGTCACACATTTGGATCTGACTGTGAGATACTCAGTGCTGCATCACTATCAATCTACTATATTTTTTCATATACAAGATGCCCTGGAAAATAATATACACCTTGTTTTTGAAAGACAGAATGAAGAAAAAAGATCTTTCCAGAGTTGTGACTGTACAGAGTAAGAACACAGACTAATCTTCAGCTGATTCACCTGCCCTTTCAGCTGACACACCCTCCCTAGGTGCTGCTGAAGACTAGTCTCCATAGGTGGATCTATGATTTTGAAAAGAGCTAAAGTGTCTCCAAAACTGTGAAATAGGAGGAGAGAGACCAGAAGCAGCTAGCAGTCAGCAAAACTGCTCTATAAAAGGTTTTGATTAGTAGAACCTCAACACTATTAAAAGGGAAGGCAGTCATTGACACTTGTGGAGTGAAAAAATATGAGCCATTAAATTAACTGACTCCCTTAGCTTCCTATTACTGCCAAAGCTGCTGCACTGTAGAGCAAAAATCAAGGTAGTGTGCTTCTATTCTGGGCAAAAAATCAGCTAACCCACTTAACACATGCACCCCAATATGGTGAGGGGAAAGCAACTTTTGCAAAAAAGATGTGAATTGTATGGGAGGAAAAGTAACAAGTTATGTTCAGTTCACTAGTACTTATTCTAAGTATCTGTCCAGTATTTTTCATATTAGACAAATACCAGTGGACTCAGATGTCCACAAACAACAGCAATCTCTCTCTTCAGCCCTGGAGATCAGAGAAAACCCATCCTATGGCTGGTATGGAAGTCTTGGGGGGTGCTCTAGATGCCTTATATGGGTAGATCTATATTCATGTATTTACAAGACACAGCATCTTACTATAACAGACTCACACTGCCCTATAAAAGGTTATATTGATTAGTAGAACCTCAAGACCATTAAAAAGAAAGTCAGTCATTAACACTCCGTGTCCACTCTGTGTATATTAATTCCCAAAACAGAAACATTGTTGCTTTTGACACCTGAGGAAGTTAAATTGGTCGGGGGATTTCTGTCAAAATGAATTTAAATGGCCTGCCCTGCCATCCATTCACAGCACCACCTATGTCAGAACCAATGATGACAAGTATTAGATATGTTAGAGAATATAATGTTATGTTCAAAATAGCAATGTCCACATGATTTTTAATTCTGATTCAATCATGAAATTCATAGACTTACAGGTTCACCTTTAGGACCCGCTTCTCCTTTGAAACCTGGCACACCAGGGTCTCCCTAAAAATAAATGAATTAATACTGTCAGCTGCTCTATATGGACTACCCATGTGCACAGTCTTAGCACATTGTAATAGAAGATAAATTGCAATAACTTTGGCCTGAGTGAAAGAGACATAAGGTAGCATGGTTTAATTTCTACCTACTTCAAGGTAAGAGCACACTCACAGGTATTTACCCTAAGCCGCTAACACATAGTAAAGCCCCACTACCTTTAACCCTGTAGTAACTGTACATATTTACAAACCCCATGTAATTACCTTCAACAGTGTTAAAACTGGTTCATCTCAAAATTGCTCATACAATACTTCTCTGAAAAAATATGTGATAAAGACTTAAACTAACTAAAGTTATTTTACAAAAGACATCAGAAAAAAGTGGGGAGATGTTACAAAAACAATTTAAGCATGATTACTTCTTGAATATTTTGGCTGTCTGTGGCAATAGAAAACTACTCCATTTGTGGAGCTAGCTGTGGCTACATTTCAATATATTCATAGTACATTATGTTTTCTGCAAATATGATTATTTTTTATGTAATAAAAATTCAAAGTACTAAATAAGTCTCCATATCTGGAAGTAACTACAAGGAAAAGCCCTATGTTCTTGTGTAATGATGACCAACAAAATTAAATCAGGCCCAGCCTATGTACAGGTCACTGTCTCTCTGTAGTGACTTTCAAGACAGGCTAAGAAAGAACCTGTTATGTTTCAGAATACATATAAGGAATTTATGAGCACCATGTCTTGGTAAACTCATTAATATCTAGCAGTCTATTGATTAGATGTGAAGGAATCTCTCTTCCTTTACTAACATCGTTGCTACATACTGTAATTTCCATTATGAAAAAAACATTCTTACGGCTTGGCCTCGTATTCCTGGAGGACCAGTACTGCCTTGAGGTCCTGGAGAGCCAGGTGGACCTGATAAGCCAGGTGGGCCAGAGGTGCCTGGAGATCCCTACAAAAGGAATGTGATACAAAACTCAAGATGAAGTACCTATATTAAAACCTGCCTTAAAATCTACATTAGAAACAGAATCCATACACAACATTCCCTACACCTGATTTGTAACTTACTGTTGGGCCTTTAGCACCAAGAGAACCATCTGTTCCTTCAGTCCCCTAAAAATAACAGAGAAATCATTATAACTAATTCCGGTAAGGAATATGTCAAAGGTGGTATATATTTGTAGACCTGTATTTCTGCCTTGTCTCAAAGGCAGCCACAGGTCTACAGGCTCTGATCCTGAAAACATGCATTTGCTTAACTTTAAAGATGCAAGTCAATAGGATATTCATATGCTTAGTTAATCTCATACATAAGCATTGAACGGATCAGAGTCCACACCCACAGATGCAACCTTTAATCTGAAAGTATTTTTTCCCGTATATCAAAAAGTTATTTGCCAAGCAACCACTACACAGGCACAAATGGTATCTTTCCTTTTTGAAAATTACATTTCGGGTAAGTTTGTTCCATATCAAAGAAATGTACAAAGACCCCTGACTTTGTGTAGACAGGGTACTAACATGCTGGGAGCATTAAGCAGCCACAGTTTCATAAACTTACAGGAAGACCTGATGATCCTTGTGGACCTTGTGGCCCTGTTTCACCTCGTTGCCCCTGTGGGCCTTCTGGACCACGTGGACCTGTTGGACCTGCGTCACCCTAACACATCATAAGAGAAAATAATCAATCAATAGTAATTTATTTGTTTCATAAAGTATCACTTATTGTAATAGAGGAAATACAGCATTTATTAGATAGCAACCAAACATAAGCTTATTCATCATTTAATCTCTCAGAAACAAATTCTAAATATAGACCCAATTCTGCCTATAGTTTCTTTGAAATTTTACCTCTTTGAAACTAATCAAATTTAATTCCTAAGTGTATTCAAATACATATTTGTTTTATTTCAGAAGAAAAATAGCATGATATGCAATAAAAGTTGTCTAAAACATATCACCAGAAAAATTGTTACTATATTATGAAGGAAATCAAAACATAAGCAGGATGGTAAAAAAAAAATCTCAAAAATCTATCTTTTTTTCAATTTTTTCAGCTTGTTAAGCACTGATTATAACTAAGATGTAAAACTTTATATAAATTAGAATTGATAAGAAAAATACATCTTCACACAGTATAATTTAATCTATTGTGTAGTTCCCAGCTACAGCCTTATATTGATATAAAGAGATTAAAAAGAATTTAATACTCTATATAGTTAACAGTCCAGCTATATTACGAAATAATGAACATTATCAGTTAAGGACCATGGGACTAAGATAGAGCATTGATCTATTCTGATGTGTCTTCTTGTATATATCCTGACCTTTAACCTTACATAGCCTGAGAGCCTTTTTTGATTAAGGTATATTAACATTGTATCTCCAGGCTTAAAGGTTAGTCCTGGACACAAACAGTGCCTATACACAAGCAGCAAGGCTGCTCCAATGCACTGTAATTACAGCACATCTGAACAGACTCGATTAATCGAGTCTGCTGGAACGTGGTAATTACTGTGCTCCAGCAGAATCCAACATTTTGTGTATCAGTGTCCCTGCACTGAGAAATGGTAGCAGGGGCACTTTAACTAAAGCTCATTCAACCGGCTTTAGTTAAAATTCCCCCGCCACCATTTTTCAGCACAGGTATGCTGACTGTTCAGCACAGGGACACGAGCTGCTCCAGGAGCTTTAATTAGAGTGGCTCTTGGAGCCACTGTAAGCAAAGTGCCCCTTTCCTCCCCTCCCAGAGCCCATGCATAAACACCCAAAGGTTCTTTGTGATATAAAGATGATCAAGGCAGGATCATCCTAGTCTAAAGCACCCTACAAAAATACCTATTTAACCAGTTCTTAAAAATGTCCAAAGCTGGAGATACCACAACCTCTCTAGGTATCTTCTGCTTAACCATCCTCATTTTGAGATTGTTCTTTTTACTTCAGGTGAAGCCTCACAAAGTGTAGAATAGAGCTGAAGGATCACTTCCCTTAACATGAAAGTGACACTTAAATTAATAAAGCCTGGTATACTAATTGGCATTTTTTTTGCAGTAATATCACCTTATTGTCTCATATTCTGTATATGATCCCCAGGTCCTTTTCTGTAGTACTGCACTCTAGCCAATCATTTCCTACTCTGTGTTTGTGCATTCAACCCCCATGTTCCATCCCCATGCAAGACTGTCCACTTGTCCTCACTGAATTTTATGTGATTAATTTTAAACAATGCCTTTTCTCTTCTTCTCACTGCAGTTCCTTTAAATATTTATTTAGATACTTTGGTTAATGATAGTCCTGTTTTTTTTCTGACATACGTTAAAAGGATCATTTAATCTTATAAATTATACTCATTGTCTTGTCAAGACTTGATTCCAGGGAATTGTTTTGTGAATGTTGCCAACTGTATAAACTATATAAAACATCTGCAGGCTTTGACTGCCTAGCAAACTGACAGATGGTTCTTATTTTACAATAATTTTCCTACCACACGTATGGGTGTGAGGTACTAAACTGTAGCAATTTGGGGACAAAGTGGGGAGGAGGGGAATCTTGGTTCTCCTCAAACCCCAGTGCAGATGTGTTTGCATGGCTGTAGTTAAAATGTTGAGCAGCTTCTTGAAGTTTCCAGAGCAGGCTCTCATATACAGGGACTGTATATGACACAAGTCTCCCTTTTCAGCTGAGCCATGTTAATACAGACATGTAGCTCTGATTGATACAACCACCAAATCCACACCACAAGCATCACTGTAAGTGGAGAAAGCAGGATGGGGCAGAAAATAAAATCAAGAACAAAATTAATGTGTTGCAAAATAAATCTTAAGATAATGAGGGGTAGTTTAGAATAAAAAAGCATGGAGAGAAGGATGAGGTAAAAAAAAAGAAAATAGAAAAAA